AAAAAAAAAAAAAAAAAAAAAAAAAAGCAACAGGACTTGGTGACAGATCAGATTGGCTGGGGCAGAAGTGGGGTACGGTGGAGTAGGGACTACAAAGACATGTCTAGAATGCCCACTAAATTTCTGGCTTGCTTAACTGGATGCCATTCATAGTGACAGAGAAAAATTAAATAAAACAGATTTGAGGGGTAGGGGAAGATGATAAGTTTTGTCTCAGATATGTGGGACTTCAAAGTTCCTTTGAGACATGCAAATATAAAAAAGTAAGCAGCTGTGTGTAATAGTTCATAGCTTGGAGGAACAATCTAGGTTGGAGATATAAATCTGTTAAGTCATCTGTATGTCAGTTACAATTAAGATAGTGGGCATAGAGAAAAAAAATTAGTAGGAAGTATGTATAGAGGAGAAGACAGCCTAAAATTGAACCTTGAAGAATCTGAATATTTAATGACTGGCTATGAGAGGGAAATGGGAGTCCAAGAGGTTAAGTAACTTGCTTAAGCACATACAATGAATAAGTAGAAGGAAAAAAACAATCGGATCCAAGTCTGGCTGACCTAGAGTCCAAACGTCCAACCATAAGCTCTGCTAGCTACTTAGTTTACATTGGGATTTAAAGCATCCTTTTGAGGGCGGCATCTGTGGCTCAAAGGGAGTAGGGCGCTGGCCCCACATACCGGAGGTGGCAGGTTGAAACCTGGCCCTGGCCAAAAAACTGCAACAAAACAAAACAAAACATCCTTTTGGGTTTGAAAGAAGTTACCAACTGTAACAAATTACCTGTGTTAGACAAGAATGCTAAATAGTCTAAAATACACAAGATAGCTAAACTGGTGCTGTTTTGAAACTTGCTAAGCATAATATCTTCAAATGTTTCCTTACACAGAAGTATTAAGAAGGAATCACTGCACTGTGAATATTGAGTGAAAATTCAAATTTTCCTCTAGCTGAGAAATAGTCTAGACAAATCATGTGGTAGTGATTATAATGCTATGCTTCTCGAAAAGAAATACAGGAAGGGACCTTGAGGTGTGCAGCAGGGGGATAAGGATTACTTGAAGAAAACCAGTAAGATGTCGCATCTTTTGGAGCAATTTTACTTGGATTGGGGAAACTATTTATTTATTAAGTTTTTTTTTAAATTTGGGATGGGGGTCTTGCTTTGTCGTCCAGGCCAGAGTACAGTAATGTGATCATAGCTTACTATAGCCCAGAACTCCTGGGCTCAAGTGATCCTTCTGCCTCAGCTTTCCAAGTTGCTGGGATTATAGATATGTTATACTACACTTGGCTTTGTTTTTTACTTTTTGTAGAGACAGGGTCTTTGTTGCATAGGTTGGTCTTGAACTGCTGGCCTCAAGCAATCCTCCCACCCAGACTTCCAACGTGCTGGGATTATGGGCATCAGCCACCACTCCCAGCTCCCTCACCCTTTTTGAGACAGGGTTTCACTCTGTTGTCTAGGCTAGAGTGTAGTGGTGTCATCACAGCTCACAGCAACCGCCTATGCTTGGGCTCAAGGGGCTCTCCTGCCTTAGCCTCCCAAGTAGCTGGGACTATAAACATGTGCCACCATACTCAGCTAATTAAAAATATTTTTTTGAATAGACGGGGTCTTGATATGCTGCTCAGAGTAGACTCAAACTCCTAGCCTCAAGCAATTCTCCTGTCTAAGCCTTGCAAAATGCTGGATTATAGGCATCAGCCAGCCTCACTTTTTTTGAGATAAAGTCTCACTCTGTTGTCCAGGCTGGAGTGTACTCGTATCATCATCATAGCTGACTACAATCTCCTATGCTTGGGCTCAAGGAATTCTCCTTCCTCAGCCTCCCAAGTAGCCCAGAACTTATAGGCATGTGCTCAACTAATTCTTAACAAATTCTATTGCAGAGATCGACTCTTGCTATGCTGCTCAGAGTGTTCTCGAACTCCTGGTCTCAACTGATGCTACTCCCTTAGTCACCCAAAGTGCTAAAATTACAGGCATGAACCACCATGTCTGGCCAGCCACACTTTTTTTTTTTTTTTAAAGAGACAGAGTTTCACTTTATTGCCCTCAGTAGAGTGCTGTAGTGTCACAGCTCACCGCAACCTCCAGCTCTTGGGCTTAGGCAATTCTCTTGCCTCAGTCTCCTGAGTAGTTGGGACTACAGGCACCCACTACAACACCTGGCTGTTTTTTGTTGCAGTTTGGCTGGGGCTGGGTTTGAACCTGCCACCCTCAGTATATGGGGCCAGTGCCCTACCCACTGAGCCACAGGTGCTGCCCCACCCACACTTTTTGATATGAAAAACAAACATGAATGGGGCAGTGCCTGTGGCTCAAAGGAGTAAGGCACTGTCCCCATATGCTAGAGGTGGCTGGTTCAAGCCCAGCCCTGCCCCCCCTCCAACAAAACAAACATGAATGTTATTGAATAGAATGCAAACTTTACATTCATTTTAAAGACAACCCTTAAGTCCAAAAAAAGTTCATATTTGTAGCAATAACTCCAACTCTACTTTCTTGAGAATACTCACTTTATCTTAGTCTTTTTTTTTTTTTTT